CAACAGTGAAGTTTGGAGGTGGGAACATCATGGTGTGGGGCTGTTTTTCAGCATATGGTACTGGCAAACTTCAAATAATTGAAGGATGGATGAGTGGAAAAATGTACAGAGACATTCTTGATAAAAATCTGCTTCCATCTATCAGGATGATGAAGATGAAACGTGGCTGGACATTTCATTGCTGAATTTCTAGAAGGACAAAAGCATAAAAGAAAAAAAACGTTCAATTTTTGGTTTGTTTTTGAGAATTTGCTTATTTGTGTTTAAAAACGTGTATTTTTTACGACAATACATGAATGTATTGTTTGCTCTTTGCTCTGGATGGCTAATTTCTTTTTGTTTAAAACAACTATGACAAAAAAGAACAAATCAAAACGATTAAAGGTGAAAAGGTTGTTCTGCTGTAATTAACTTGCTGTGTAATTTCTCTGTTTTTTCCATAAAATATGTTGATTTCCTTTCATCAGAAAACACAGTTTCATTTCCTAAAATAAAAACTAAACAACTGCCTTCTTTCTATCCATGGATTAAGCAACTCTGCAAGTATTTTTGAATTCCTGTAAATTTCTCTCCACACTTTACTAAACACAAAGTCACATGATCCTGTTTGTTTGCCAAATCAAAGTTTTCACTCAGTTTTAGATAAATGTGTTTGCGTGCTGGACTCGTGACCTTTGTGCTCAATCAATAAAAGCTCAAACTGGCGTTTGATTGGAGGAGACCCTTGCTGTCCCATCAGCTGGTGGCTCTAATCCAGCTGCTCCCTCCCCACCCAGAAACAAGAGGACACCGAGGGGACATCACTCCAGAGAAGATGGCTCCAGCTTTGGGCTGGCTTTTTCTCGGCCTTTCAGTTTTATCCACGACTGTGACGTCTGCAAAAGGTAAAGCAAAGCAGGAAAATGTCTGTATTGCTGCATCACCTCGCACATTCTGACATATTGCTGCAAGGTTTCCAACCAGTTTAGCGTCAAACGTTCAGATGATTTCTGAGTCACTCTTCCTTTCTGTAAGCAGTTTGTGGCCGGCCTCCCGTCCCCGATGGAGTTGACGCTTCATCTTTGAAACGAGTGTTTGAGGTCGGAGAAGAGGTGTCCCTCTCCTGTGGACAGGGCTTTGTGACCTCAGCAGCCACGTCTTCCAGAATAACCTGCACGGCTACGGGAGAATGGACCGAGTCCAATCTGGCATGTGCCCGTGAGTTCAGATTTGTGGTTTTTATTCTGTCGTTGGTAATCTAGCTTAAAAAACACAACGAGTATGCAGAACTGGATGGGGGTGGAGGGGGCATGTTTCTTCATGTTTCTTGCAATTTTGAGATAAATCAGACTGGTTTACTCGTCACCTAAAGGAGTCTTATAGCTTTACCTGCTTTTTTCAAGCAAACAAACATAAAACAGTTCTAGGCTTACTCAGAATTGTTCATAAAGTTAAAAACCATGACCAAAAGCAAACTTTACATTGACATACAACCACAACTGGATACGAGCTGCTCAGTAATGCAAGTAAACAAGTATAAAAAAACCAGAGAACTGATTTTTTTAAACCACGTTTGTTGTCCAACAGACATATAGTGATGATATGCACAAAATATGTTTTCTGTGCTGTAACTTTTATTCCTCTGCAGCCAAGATGTGCCCAATTCCCAAATCTCTACAGCCATTTGCATTGGGGAGAACAGAGGCTCCATTTCGAAGTGTCTTAAACTACACATGTGATGACGGGTGAAAAAGGAGAATTCACTAATCATTAAATACCATAACTACAGTTCTGCACTACAATAATATATCTTTTTGTTCCTTATTATTCATTAGGTATGTCCTTCTAGGAGCCAATGAAAGCCGATGTTTGCACAACGGCACCTGGAGTCATTTACCTCCTCTCTGCAAAGGTACAGCAGGAATACAAGAAAACAGTGCTGAACAGAAAACAAGCACGGCCTTCAGCACAAAGAACAGAGTCATTTATACCCTTATATTGTGGCGATCTTAACAAAATTATTCTTTATGACATCCAGCTGTTACATGTCCCCTCCCAAAGCCACCCAGAGAGGGTAGAGTTATCCCTGATAGAGCAGTAACAGGAACTACAACCATCTATGGACAAGGCTGGACGTATGAGTGCAATCCACCGAAAGCACCGAGTTTTGAGAGAGGGTCCTGCAAGGCTGACGGAACCGCAACCGAACCACCGATCTGTCAAGGTTTGCAGATTTGTGATGTACAAATTCTGCGTTTTCTTCTTGAACAGGAAATAATGCTGCCTTTTGTTGCTTTCGACTCAAGAACATTTTTTTTGCGACTGGTTTTCAGAGGTGAGCTGCTCCATCCCAACCAACATACCAAATGGTGTCATCACATTTGCTGTGATGAGACAACACGGATACAAGGAGAAGGTTAAGTACGCCTGCAATGAGCACTACACTCTGGAAGGTGACGCAGAGATCCAGTGCCAGAACACAGGAAACTGGTCATCAAAGCCCATCTGCAGGGGTGAGTCATGACAAAACTAGAGAAACCACTTGATCTGCCAAATATGAAGTGTGAAGGCTGAGAGCAAGAAGACTTGCTGAAACTTAACATTTACATATTAAAGCTAAAAGAAGCAGAACACTCGAACAACTGTAACGTAAATTTAATAAATATGACCAAAACTTTGGCTAAAAGCAGGAAGAAGCAAAAGTTAAAGGACAAAAGAAACAAAATGCTTCCTAAAAGCCACAAAACATTAGCTAAATATAAAAGTAGTAAAATATTTAAAATTGTGGAATTCTAGCTGAAAGTCGCAAAATCCTTTTTAGCAAAAGACTGGCTAAAAGCTAAACATTATAGTTGCAATTGGACAGCTAGAAGTGGTTAAAAGTTGAACATGTTAAAAAGCCTTGCTAAAATAGCAAAATGCTAAAGTGGCTAGCTAAAATTTAAAAACGCAAAAGGGACAGCTAGATGCTACAAGTAGCAAATAGCTAAAAGTGGAACGTGGTAAAAGGCTAGCTAAAAAAGTAAAAAAAAAAGTAGTGCGCTAAAGCGGATTTCAAATTTGTCAAAGGAACTTAATGCAGTAATCTGCCAAGAATATTTGAAAGGAAAGTTAAATGTTTTGAAAAGTATAAAAGTTGTTAGAAATAAAAGTCATGGCACCCATCTCCTGAGAAAAAGACCAACATTTTGATATCTGAAGTTAAGATAAAACCAAGTATGCAGAAGTATTTAAACTGCGAACAAACATACAGAAAACTCAAGAAAACAGAATAGTTTTAGACTTTACGTCAGGCTCTATATTTATATTACATCACTATTAATGATTAGTCTCCAGCTTCCAAGGAGAATTGACACACTGATTTGTCCACATTATCTTTCCACAGAACAAATTTGTGTGATATTTTACTGTAAGGGCCACTTTTGTTTTTCCATGCAGCTCCCTGCACAGTTGGCATCAAACGAGGCCGCATCTTCTACAATACCAAGAAGATCTGGATCGAGGACCTGAAACCAAACAGAGTCCTCCACGGAGAGCATGTTGTCTTCTACTGTAAGAATGAAGCTGAGAAGTGTGGCTACCCTGTGGCCAGCACCTGCAACGATGGAAACCTCCCTCTCCCAGAATGCTTTGTGGGTGAGTTCCTCCCAGCTAGATAATGACCAGGAGAAGTTGACTAATAATATGTTAGCCAGACAAGGAGACAAAGTTTGGATTTTTGATTTTTTTGGCATCAGCTGGACTTCTATTTTATTCTGACTTCGAATTAAAATTATTTATCTCTCAGCTTGCGGCAGTTTTTGCATTTTTCCTAGTTCCTTTTTATTATTTATGTCCTGCATGACTGAGAATCTACACCAGATTTGCACATTTTAAAGTGTTTTTAAAGTTACATCCCAAATCAAACAGATGGCTGATGTCTCTAATGACATGCATGCTTTCTCTCTTTTTTTTTAGAACCAGGTAAAGTAGAGTACAACCTCAAGGCTAAAAGTCTTCCATCCGAGATCAGAATGTGTGCTGCATCGACTGCGAGGCCAACAAGCTCTGCAAGACTTTCATAATCAACTTAATCATGTCATTTGCTGTCATTTGTCTGAGATTTGTCAGTTTCAACAGACAATAAAATGACAAAAAAGTATGTTATGTGTCATATTTTAAACACAATCTAAACACATCTGTAATCTGTGACAATAACATAAGAAATTATGGAATAAAAGGGATTTATTTGTGGTAAAAATAACTCATTTGTGTTATATTTATTGTAGAAAATACAATGCTAAGTATTTTTTATTGTGCACAATGTCACAAGGCTGAATTGACTGAAAAGACTGAATTGACTGAAATGACTATGAAAATTGTAGATTCACATTGAAGGCATCAAAACTATGAATTAACACATGTGGAATTATATAACTAAAAAGTGTAAAACAACTGAAAATATGTCTTATATTCTAGGTTCTTCAAAGTAGCCACCTTTTGCTTTGATTACTTCTTCACACACTCTTGGCATTCTCTTGATCAGCTTCAAGAGGTAGTCACCTGAAATGGTCTTCACGTCACAGGTGTGCCCTGTCAGGTTTAATAAGTGGGATTTCTTGCCTTATAAATGGGGTTGGGACCATCAGTTGTGTTGTGCAGAAGGTGGATACAGTCCACAGCTGATAGTTCTACTGAATAGACTGTTAGAATTTGTATTTTGGCAAGAAAAAAGCAGCTAAGTAAAAAAAAAATGAGTGGCCATCAATACTTTAAGAAATGAAGGGCAAGTCTGAAAAATTGGGAAAACTTTGAAACTGTCCCCAAGTGTAGTAGCAAAAACCATCAAGCGCTACAAAGAAACTGGCTCACATGAGGACCGCCCCAGGAAAGGAAGACCAAGAGTCACCTCTGCTGCGGACGATAAGTTCATCAGAGTCACCAGCCTCAGAAATCACAGGTTAACAGCAGCTCAGATTAGAGAACAGGTCAATGCCACACAGAGTTCTTGCAGCAGACACATCTCTAGAACAACTGTTAAGAGGAGACTGTGTGAAACCACTGCTAAGGACAGGCAACAAGCAGAAGAGACTTGTTTGGGTTAAGGAACACAAGGAGTGGACATTAGACCAGTGGAAATCTGTGCTTTGGTTTGATGAGTCCAAATTTGAGATCTTTGGCTCCAACCATGCACGGTGGCTCAGTTGGTAAAGCTGATGCCTCCCAGCAAGAAGGTCACCGGTTCAAATCCCAGTCCGGGGACCTTTCTGGGTAGAGTTTGCATGTTCTGTCCGTGCATTCTCTCCGGGTACTCCGGCTTCCTCCCACAGACCAAAAACATGACTGTTAGGTTAACTGATAACTCTAAATTGTCCCTAGGTGTGAGTGAGAGAGTGAATGGTTGTTTGTCTCTATGTGATGCCCTGTGATGGATTTGCGACCTGTCCAGGGTGTACCCCGCCCCTCGCACTGTGACTGCTGGATGTGGGCACCAGTGACTCACGCAACCCTGAAAAGAAGCGTGTACAGAAAATGGATACAGAAATGGTTCCAACCACCGTGTCTTTGTGAGATGCAGAAAAGGTGAACAGATGGACTCTACGCGCCTGGTTCCTACCGTGAAGCATGGAGGAGGAGGTGTGATGGTGTGGGGATGCTTTGCTGGTGACACTGTTGGGGATTTATTCAAATTGAAGGCATACTGAACCAGCATGGCTACCACAGCATCTTACAGCAGCATGCTATTCTATCTGGTTTGCGCTTAGTTGGACCATCATTTATTTTTCAACAGGACGATGACTCCAAACACACCTCCAGGCTGTGTAAGGCCTATTTTGTTGTGCCAGATGACCTGGCCTCCACAGCCACCAGACCTGAACCCAATCCAGTTGGTTTGGGGTGAGCTGGACCGCAGAGTGAAGGCAAGAGTCAAAATAATCCACAGCTGATTAAGTTTTGGAGTCAATCTGATTACAGATGAATCTCAGCAAACACAAGTGTGTCTTTAACTCAGCTTTACAGGTGTTGAATTAAACTTTGGTGTGCTAGCTGAGAGCCAGCCTGCACACACATGAGTGCTAACACCAAGAACACACAGGAAGTCTGTTTAAAATGGCTCATGATGCAGGCGGCAACATGCATTCATGTTAGGAGTCAAGAAACTGAAACAAGTTGCTGTTTGTTTTATCTTCATGAGTCCAGATTAAAAAGCATTTCCCTGTTGACAACATCTCAGCGGTGGGTAAAAGGTTTCTCTGGGGGGGGGGGTTTTCATTTCCAGTAAAACTGTGAGCCATTACTTCATGCTGCTCTTATCTGTTTACTTTTAGAGGAACACAAACAGCTGTGAAACAGGGCAGAGTGTCGGGATGTGAAGCAGACACAGAACAAACGAGCGTCGGGACGTTTCTACAAAACATGGAGTGTGTGAAGACTTTATTTCTGCTCTGTTCCTCTCTGCTTTTGACCACTGTGACATCGCAACACAATGGTATTTATGTATTCCTTCATTTTCACGGCACAGTCTGTCGCTATTTCTACAGTTTAAATTAAAACTCGTGTTTTTTGTAGTGTGTTCCAGACCTGATTTAAAAGGACACATTGAGCTGAGTGGGACCCAGAGGTTCTTTAGCCCCGGTGTGGAGTTACCGCTGTCCTGTCAGCAGGGATACACTCCCATATCAGGCCCTCGAAAGATCGTCTGCACTGTCAGTGGAGAGTGGAGTAAAACCAAGTTCGAGTGCATACGTGGGTCTCTTTTATTCATCATCAGATTTCCTGTTTACTGGTTCTTTTGTGGGGAAATAAAATAAAATTCATCTTCATTATCTGCATCATTTATGTTACAATAATTACTTCTGTAAAAGTTTGTTTTTAACATATAATTTATATAGATCAGTTAAAACTTTATTCTAAATGTTTTTTTGTAATTGTTTGTTTTTTAAATTGTGCTTTTTATGAGATTTTAAAAGACCCTTATGAGAATTTTACTCACAAATAGAATCATAGTATTTTTTTCTTACTCATTTATTATATATAGGATAATGAGTATAAATCTGCACCTTTTACTTCTAAAAAGTAGTTGTAGTGGAGGGCTGTTCAACTGGTGGCCCGTGGCCCGGATGACGTCTGTCAATG